AGACTGTTGAGATGCACTGGTTTCTTTGGAGCTGGGGGTTTCGTTGGGGGTTTGGATGTAAGAGCTGGGGGCGCAGAAGATGTCGAAGAAGGACCTCGTGCTTGAGGTGAATTGACCCGTGTTTTTGCCACCATCAAGGGCTTTTTGGGAACTCCAGGAAGAGATTTCTCGGGCTTGTTGCCAGTCTCCGGAATATCAGTGTACTTTCCGTAACCTTGGGCAGTTCTTTGGATGCTGGGCGGCTTTTGGTCTTCATTCAAGAGACTCTGAACCCTGTTCTGAATGCTGACAGCACGGGAAACTCCCCCAATACTCTTAGGCGGAACTGGTGGGCCGCGCTGTCCTGCAGCAACCCGCTTTCTATATTCGGCTTGTGCTGCTTCCACACGTTGTTCCTCTTCTTGAAGCTTCAGCCGTTCCATTTCCCGCCTCATTTCAGGTGTCATGCGATCCTCGTCATCGTGGAAATGACCATCGTCACTGCGTCCATCAGTTGCCTCAGAGCCTGCGATAGGAGTGAGATCACGACGTGCCATGTCCCTTTCTGGCGAAGGGATTCTCCCATTGTTAGGGGAGCTGCCTTCGAAGCGTTTGAATGCATCACCGAATTTTCCTGCCAGAATGTTCTTGTTGCCAGAAAGCGAAGTCAAGCTGGAACGCTTGCTAGACTTGGTACGCTCCGAATCCTCCAGACTTCTCAAGAACTCCATATCGCTCGACGTGCGTGGTTCGTCAGCTGGCTCTTGATAGGGGGAGCGAGATTGGGGCGGTCGGCTTGATGAGCGTGATGCAGCCTCTCTTTCACGCAAGAAATCCAGAGTCGTACCCTCAAGATTCGTACTAGCAGGTCGTGGCCGAGAAGGGGCTGGTGAGGCGCGAGCAGCAGGTTCTAGGAAATCAGCACGAGGACGGCCGCCTTCAAGTGAGGGCCTCGATGAAGATGGCTGACGTTCATGACTAGGCTGCTGAAAAGCCGAAATTCTTTGTGAGACTGCAGCACGGGGTTCCTCTGCGTTCCACTGCGCTGCACTTGGGTCAACCTGCCTTGTAGCGCTGCTGGAACGAGAATATTCAGCGATTTCGCGCTGAACAGGTCGTTCCACATCCCGGCTGAACTTCTCAGGTGGAGGTGTCGAGGTCATCGTGCCAGTCGAGACATATCGGGAGTTGGATTGAGAAGAGATCGCTTGCAGCTCGGGGTTGTTGCTAATGATCGACTGCGCCCTGCTAATGTCAGGTCTACTTGGTGCAGACAAAGTCTTAGCAAGGGGGGGCTCCAAGGGAGGTGAAGCAACTGCAGCATGGTGTCCGACAGGAGTGACCGAGTGTGTCCTAGACACGGGCTTCGGTCGAGGAGACTCGGTCTGCGGCGCTGCGAATGCCTCATCGGCCAGTTTTGCCGTCACTCTTTCGTTCAAATCAGATGACGTATTGCCTGTGGGTGAGATGGGTGAGGAGACATCAAAATCGAATTTGGTGCCTTGATCATGCAATAGTGAAAATTGATCGAGGGTAGGGAATCTTGAGGATAATTCGTCAAATCCTTTGGAAGCAGCCTTGGAATCAAGGGCAGCAAATGGGTCCCCCTCAGTCTTCCTCATCGGAGAAGCATCCGGCTTCTGGACTACCTTGGCCAGAGCTGGTGAAGCCGCCGGTCGTCCTCTTCGCATCGGTACAACATCAGGAATAACTTGCTTCTGAGGTTCGGCTCGGGTAAACACGGCACCCACAGCAGGAGTTTGTTCTGGTTTTGGGGCCTTGGGTTGAGGACTATCGGTTCTTGCGTGGGATTGCGAACGACTGTAAATCTGTGGCCATTGTTATTATGAATTCTTCTTGGGTGAATCGTACACCTACATCTTGAACGGGAACATCACGCCCTTGCATGGCGCATCCCTCCTTTAGTACTTGGAAGATATTCGGTCGATCTTGTAAGTTCTCTCTCAACATTGATGCTGAAACCATGTCAGTCCTCAAACAAACAGCCAGGGCCAATGAGCATTACCTATCAATTTCTTGAGCCTGTCAGAAAATACAGGGTGACTTGGGAATCTGTAACTGGCATTCAAAATTGCCAATTGGCCCTGGTCCTCAAAGGGAGTAGTGTAGTAGCACAGCTTATACAGTAAAACTCCCAATGCCCAAATATCAGATTTTTCATTTATGGGTTGCTTGCGGTATACATCGATCATCTCAGGACTCCGGTACTGCATCGTGGTGTGCTTCTGTACATCTTCATCCATAAGACGACATTCGGTGACGGTAGTGGGGGCGGGACGAGGAGATGCGGCTGAACCGAAATCGCAAAGCTTGAATCGTTTGGAGGATCCTCTGGCGGTAATAAGAACGTTTTCAACTTTGATATCGCGGTGTAGCAGTGGTGGTTTTAGGTAGTGCATGCATGCGACACCCTCAGCGATGTCGGTGAAGATGTTGAGGATCTCTGGCTCCGTGAGGCGGTGTTGTAGCCTGGTGTTCATGAAATCGATCAAGCCACCGCCATTGCAAAACTCCATGAGCAGAAAAACTTCGTATCCTCCACCTTGAAGCTCGGAGGCATGCGAGTCGATATATGTGACGATCGGTCGGTGGCCTTTCAGACGCTTCATTGTCTCAACCTCGATGCGCATGCCCCGCAAGGTATCCTTATCGGGGACCGCAACTCGCTTCAAGACAGCCTGATCGGTGCCATCGACAGGCTTGGCCAGCTTGACGAGGTAGACATGGGCGAAGCCTCCTTCGGAGAGATATTTCTGAATCACCACGCGGTGGCTGCCAACCTGGATCTTGGTGCCTGGGGCGAAGGTACCAGCCGGAGCGCCTCCAGGGATGGCCGCAGGAGAGCCGTAAGGGGCATGATGATGATGCTTGTTGGGCATCATATGCGCAGGGGGGTATTGGCCGTGTGAAGCCATCGTGAGCGCGAATACAGACGATTATTGACGATGACTGTTGAGGAGGATTTCGAGGGTGAGGGAGATGGCGGCGACCCCGTCCAACAGGGAGCGAGCTTGAGCCAAGGAGCCAAGAAAGCGTCTGGCGGTCGAAAGGGGGTCGAGGAGATTCGATCGGGGCAGAATTGAAGTAAAAGGAACGGAAAAATTGGCAATTCAAGTCATTGGGATCAAACAAATGCTAAGTATAGGAGTGATTTAGAACGGTCGCATCGTCAAAAACATATGGCCCCTGGCAAGTTGTTGGAGGTTGCAGGCCTGACCTTACCTATCATAGGTTCGATACTCAGTGGCTTAGTCCCCCGGATCAAGGAACTCCACTGCCACCTCACATTCCACTCCATTTTCTGATTCATTGTTTCAACAGCGGGGAAATGTCGGTAAATCCCAGAATCTAGATGCTGAGATCTAACTTTATTCCAACTGAATACCTACCTTTGCATTTAGGTTTGCATACTGCTAACAAAACCGTTTTGCAGTTATTATAGAAGTATGTATCTAAGTACGTATCGACACAGAGTACGTATTCTTGTTGAGTTCTCTAATCTTGTGACCACCACGTTTATGAGTGACCCTGTTAGCTTCATGTTTCATCCAGCTGACAGTCAATGTTTCGCTATGAAATTGATACAACCGCGGGTAAGGATGAGCTTCCCGCAATTTTAGCCTGTTTTTTTATTAGACAGTGTAATTGTGTTGGGCGTAGCTTAAATCTTGGGCTTATTATTGATGATTAGCACCTTAGAGCTGTATCATGCATGTAGTGGCAGAAAATGAAGCACTGAGAACCATCCTTATTGGTAACATGGAAAAGATGGAAATTAGATAGAAAGCAACGTAGCGTTTCTCTCAACTATCAATTGAAGATACTATCGCTTTCGTTCATCGAAGTCATCTACGAGTGTAGAACTACCTACCCTGTACCACATCTACAAATCCTTTGCATTTGGACAAGTCACGAGGTGTTTGGCTTCCCAACCTATTTGAGTGGATAATATATTTTTCTCGCTCGTATCTTTATCATGTGGGTGTCACCGGGTCAACTTTGAATAATCAGTCGATGGAGTACATAGTTCATGCGATCCCAACGGCATAGTCTGTGTGAACGCCGGATTCCTGTGCGGCCATCTAGGGCAAGATAATTCAATATTCATGCATTAAACTCCCTTTCGTCGCTCAAGGGCACTGTTCTAAACGCTAAACAGTTCCAGACGAGCTTTACATACGTAGTTTTATAGCACTACTGACTATCTAAATTATTCGCAGAGGTTACATATCGCTTAAAGACTAGGGAACCAGTATCATGTCAAAAAGCAATTCGAGCATATGCTAATCCTTGTTACAGTCAGCTTCTCACAAGATAAGTAAGACTGGGGGAGATCAGAGTATAGAGAGTTGGAACTTATATCTGATGGATACTCCATAGGTAGATATAGCAATCCGAGGTAACTTTCCGAGGTAACTTCTCCCTTGTTCAGTTGTTTATTGGCATAAGCCATCAAGTTTGATGTCAAAAGAAATTCAAGGAGGAGACGAATTATTCACCAAGTTTACTTAATTATCGCATAAAATAATATTCAAGAATCCCCTGCGGTAAATCACATCAACCTTCTCTTAAACTTAAAGTTAACCCATTTATTTACAGCCTCAGCTTTGACGTTGCCATAGTGGCTTAACAGACGGATTACGCACACGTTCTCCGCCGTTATAACCGTGCCAATCTGCCAGATAGACTCTAAGCCATGATCAATGACTCGGCCGAACCGACACAGCTATTCTTAGAAAGAACTCGCCATTCAATACGTGTATCAAGAAGAAAAGCCTTAATCCGAACACCGAGAAAGTGGCTCTCTATAGTTTCTAGAATATGTAACATTGCAGAAGAGCCAACTCCTAAGGGATTAGGGGCTTGTTCCAGAACACGCTGGTTTGCGAGCAGGGGTCCGCCTGCAACCACTCAGTAGTTCCCGTCAGGCATACGTCATTGTTTCTTTTTCTGCTGCTCAGGCTATTCTTCGCTCTGTTTAGGTACAGCAGTAGTCTTTTTTAGCCCGGGGCATCGGCCGTGCCGTCCGTGGAGCGGTTCGCATCAGCAGCCACGCCCAAGTGGGAGACTTGTGCAGTACTTGATAGGTGCAGGATCTGCAATGATAAGAGGTAGTATCTCTCAAGTCATGATGATGTCGATAGTTGCCGAATTGTGATGTCTTGCAGTAGACGAATCCTCAGTAGAGTGACTCCCATGTGGGCTCCGGCTGACCTTGCCCGGAGGTCACGGCACCGAAGGGACATGCCCGTACATGGACATGGACATGGTCATGTTATTGTTGGGGATGAGTCCATGTGCCGTGTTGAAGGGGAAATCCAATGCTAATCCTGCCTGTCAGCCCCAAATCCCGACGCCTCGTTTGAGTCAATGGGGCCCGCCTCTAATGGACCGTGGACCCTGTCCCGTCCGTAGAATCAGCTGCTTGAGAGTGAGAGCCTTATAACAACAACGTTGCGCTCTTTGTCCTGGCCTGATTTTCATCCTTCTTTTTTCAACCCATCGTGATATACACAGTAGAACACCAACTGCTTGTCTATAAACCTCTATACTTATACACACCAATCATTTCAGTCTTATACTCCCGTTTACAACCGTCAATATGCCTTCTACTACTTCTTCGGCCATGCAAATGCCCCGTGAACCGGCCCCCGCAGCGTTCCCTGCCGAGCGAACCAGCACCGAGCAGCCGGTATGTCACCCACGAACCTCTGGCTTGGCTTCTACCAAAAGTCTTTTCAATCGCCAAGACACAATAGTCAAGCATTGGATTTCAAACATTGTGAATCACGATTAACTAACTCGTTTTTGACAGCGTCCAGTTCAGCCCATGACAATGGAACAGCCTGAAATGAGCATGCGAGGAGGCAAAGACGGTGGTGTAAGAACAACCAATTCACTCAACTCTGCAACATTAACTGATATTCTTCCCAGGCTATTTGCTGTGGTATCTGCGCTGGTCTTTGCTGTTTCGAATGCCTAGACTGCTGCTGTTAAACAATTTCAGTGGGCAAGGATATCATAGAGTAAAGCTCTGGCGTTCAGGCACGAATCATTTGGGAGGACAATTCAAAGGGATACCATCGTCGGCTAATGACACGACGATTTCGATAGCTTTGTCTTCAAATAATACCTCGTTCGAATACTTAATTCACGGCCCTTCTCTCATCGTTTCGCTCAGTTATGACAAGTCTAAATGCGTCCCTAAACCATACTCGCTCTACACGACCACACCCTCCAATCGCTTTACCACGTCCTCATAAAATTTCATTGATAACTTTTCAGCAACTTCATCTCGTGTCTCATCATCTCCCTCACTGAGCCCCAAGTCCGTACCTCCAGCCAAACACTTCCGTGTTGCATCTTCAAACCTCTCTCCCATGTCAGCACCTACTGATGCGACTTGGTCTTCCTCCAGCAGAGCCTCTCGTACACCGCGCACAACATCAGGTCTCCCGCGCGCACGCCTCATGTCGATACTCAGCACATCTTCAACCAGACGCCAATGTGCTAATTCGACTAGAATGACACCCAGACTATAAATGTCGAAGCTTTTCTTCGAACGCTCTCTATCTCGTCGACGGTTTGACTGGGCGTTGGGATGTCGGTATAGATCATGCTCTGCATCATCTCCCGGTGCATCGGTCATCTCATCTAACCCTCCAGGCCGTGAAAAATCGAAACCTGAGAGATATGGTTGGCGGTAGTCTATGCGGCCATCACAGGTTCGGAAAAACAACACATTGTGACTGCGAAGACCCTTGTGTAGCCAGTGTACAGCATGAAGGTAGAGGAGGCAATTGCTGATAGCATGTGCCAAGTACACCCGTTCTGTAACACGAGGCTTGCGGATCTTTGGGTCTTGAAGAAGCTCGCGGAGCGAAACAGGTGGGAGAGAGGTCTGTAGATTATCGTCGGATGGGCGCTCGAATATGAGGCCGAGTCTTCGATCTAGAATATCAACGTCATCCTCGGGGATGTTAGGATCAGCTTTATCGAAGAACCCCAGACAGTGAGGAGTGCGAAAGGCCTCGGGCTTGGGACTATGGTTCAGCAAAGCAGCAAGTTTTCGGACTCTCTCAATGATATCGGCCTTTGATAGCGAACCTGGTTGGGTATCTATATTGTCATAGTCCTTCCACTCAATCCAAACCTTCTTCTTGCCTTCTGCTGTCTTCATGAAAGCCTCGCATCGTGGAGCCTCTGATTCATCCACCTCAGGGTCTAGCTCTATGAGGTATCGAGGGACGAATAGATTGCGCTGCTGGCCCGGCTTTGCAAGATCGAGGAATTTTGCAGCAGTTTCATCAAAGACTGCTGGGCTATCTGACTTGGGATCGATAGTCTCATTGAAGGCCTTGAATTTGGCTAATCTCGACAATTGCCGTAGAGCGTCAGCATTGGCTTCCCTTTCCAGTTTGGACATTTGCGATGGTCCAAGCCGGGAACCTGCATCGAGCTGAGACTTGAGAGCTAACACAAGATGACTCAGATCGGCTATCTTGTGGTGGAGTAACAGGACCCCACGGTTGGTGTCCTGTACGGTATTGCGAATCTCGACCTGTAAGGAGTGATCGAGGATATTGGTCATGTTGTCGTTGAGGACTGAAAACTTGGCCAGCAACTTTTCAAACCCTTGCTTGTCAAATGAAGTCCACCTTAACCTAGTAAGGCTTTCTGATGATTTGGACTTGAGTCCAGCCATGGCCTTTTTGATAAAGTTCCGTTTCTTATCACTCATAGGATAGTTTGACAGCTTGGCATCTTTTTCTGGTGAATCCAAGACGCCATCTTTATCCACGACGGTAGAAAGGTTCTTGTGCTTCTGCTGGTATTCTGTAAACTCATTGAAGAGGCACTGGATTTGAACAAGGAGATCAATTACAGTCTGGCGGTGAAGATTGAATACGTTTGAGTTGAGAACCTTGTCTTGGTTCTTGGCATCAAGGTCGAGCAGGCCAGAAGCCTCACTCCAGCAAAACAGACGCTGCTGTTCCATCCTGAGACGGAGATTGAGATATTTGCACTCATCCTCATAGCCCAATGCCGTAACAAGGAGCTGTATCCCTGATGGATGTCAATTTCACATGTTATGCTGGTTACGATGAGCTAGAGTTGCTTACCTTGAATGCATCCTGTGTAGACCTGGAGGCTGATGGAAGCAACTCCCAGCGCCAAGCCGGCAAGGGATACAGGGTCCATTGCGCCCTACTGCAGCTTATTTTAGGGCTCCTGGCAGAGAGGCAGTGCGGCTGAGCAGGGTATGAGGCGGCCGACGAACTCGCTGTGATGGGATGTGATGGAGTGACTTCTTGTCACTCACTGAGTGGTTCAGGAGCTAAAATTATGGATGTATTCGACACTGCGGGGGATCATGCGAGGTCGGGATGAGGCGATGATTGGTGGGAGCTATGATAAGCAGCCCGGAGATAGAAGGGAAAGACAAACAAGAACGGAGATGAGATGATGAATTGGATCCAAGGCTGGTTAATTGATGTCGAATATGGAAACCCGTAAATGTAGCCAATGGCATTCATCCTGCGACAATCATCGAGTCGTTCGGATCCTTCAACAGGGCTGCAATTGACTCGTGCACTCTTCGTCTATCTATCTTGTCGATCTCTTTTTCGTATTAGCGACACACGCCGTGTACAGTAGTGTAGTGTAGTGTAGTGTACTGTAAGCAACCCCGTTACCATGAGTAAGGGGCGTATAAATGCCGAAAGGACCCGAATCGCCATGGATCGGATGTACATGAATCCTTCGAGACCAGGGTCCTTAAGCAACTGCCATTTCCGCTTCATGCATGATCTTCTTAACGCCGGTAGTTTGCGAAGTTGAGAACTGACTCCATGTTTTGTGAGGCCAGTAATGTTGCATTTCTCTGAAACCTCGAGTTGGAAATTGTTAAGCAGACCGCCTACAGGACTTGAGTAAACGGTTGCCTACAGCACTTGATGTTCAGCTTCTCTCAACCCCTGTCTTGTGCTTAACTCAATATGGAATATCCTGTCACCAGAAACTACAGTGTGATTCGCTAGGATTTAACTCGGATTGTAGCTGTAGATCCGGATGTTACATGCAGACGGCTTCTCCGAGATGCTAAACACCAAGTTACACCCACCTACATGATGGATGGATGTTTGTTTAAGGTTGATGTTGGCAGCTTGAACCATCTTGTGAGTCAGCCTGTGGGAAATAAAATACGTACGTCATTCGTCTCAAATTCCGCGTCAAGTTAGACCAATTGTATTTTTGGAAGTCTTGTCAACGTCTTCTAATTCTTACTAATTATGGAGTTGATCCTCATCAGCTCTCAGTAAGCCATCTAATATCCCGGGTACGCGGTCCGTGATAGATGCCGCAACACCGCTTGCGGGCCGCAATTCATCACTTCTGGTCGAGATATCTTCGAAGCCAGTTCTAGAATTGCATGGCTTACTGGCTCAGGTAAGCGTAAAAACGTGGCTTAAGTTGACTCTCACTCCCACTCCCACTCCCACTCCCACTTCCACTTCCACCTCCGCGGCCTTCAACTTCCGCAGAGCTAGACCTCGCAGCGTTGCATTACCTTGCCGACATGATTTCCGGTGCCTTGTAAAGGCTTGGGGATGATACCCACACACCTGGCAAGCTGCAACATGGCATGGCCTCTGATGAATACAAGATTAGCTTAGGAAAAGCCTGGGTAATTACAGCACTTCAGCCAGCCAGTTATGATGCTATGCAATGGTATGATCTTTGGTGCTAAGAACTAAGGTTTTAGGATTAGACCTTGGGTGAAGCCATAAGCACGATGATGGTCTCTTAGTATTGTTAGACTCGCATATAGTTAGTTGCTGGAGTTGACATCGAGGCAGTGTGGCCGGGACATATGAGTGCCGGCCTTCACACCCACAGACATGTCGCAGCCACGAGGTCAAGACGAAAAGAATGCAAATACTTGTCACCCCTGTCCTTCTACTATGCCAAGCCCGACACGTCGGGATGCGGCAAAGGCGTGCATGCTGCATCATGCTCGGTACTGGAATGGGATGAGGATCGTCTAAAAGGGAAGCAAGTGACATGCTGTTTTCTGTTGTTCCCTCAATATTCTGAAGCAATGAGACCTGCATGGCCGTTTATAGAAATGGATCAACTTGTACGAGCTGACTGACCTGATTGGTCCATGGCAGAGCTTAGACGCACCCTTGTGCTGGTAACCCCGGCTCTCTAATATAACGCCCGCAGGTTAGTGGTTATAAGCTCCTGGAGATAATCACCCCATGTTAAAG